TGTAGGCACGAAGCCGGTGAAGAAGGAGGTCAGAGAAGAGGCGGCCGCATAGCGCGTGTCAAAGGTGTTGTCGATGTCAAGCGCGTCGGCCATCATGGCGCCCCAGGCCCGGAGACGTTGGGCCATCTGGTTGTCGATTTCGCCACAGGCGGCGGTGGTGGTGGTGTCAGCGCTGCGAAGGGCAAGGGCGGCCATGAGGGAACCGCTGGCTCGGGTGATGGCGCAGGAGAGGTTGGGGTTAATCTCGCCTTGTTGGAGACCCTTCCAGGTTTGATCAATGGTGGCCATGAAGGGGAAGCCAACAAGCTCGGCTTGACGGCCTTGCTGGAGAAGGGCGTCGATGAGATCGCCGAGGTTAGAGATCGCCGCTGCTTTGATATCGGGGCTAGCGGCGGCGGTGGTGCAGACTTCGGCGTAAAGATTGGAGAGACCCCCAATGGCTTCGGTGGTGGTGATGGACTTCCAGGCGGCAGGGACCATCTCAAGCATTCGCTGGGTGGTGTTGATGTCCTTGCTAAGCGTGTGCAGAAAGAGTGCCCGTAGGACCTTAGTGTCGGAGACTGCTGCGGCGTGGTAGACGCTGGCAATTACAGCCTCTGCATCCAGGAGAGCCGAAGATGGGTATTGCTTGGTCTTGTCCATCACCGTGGCTGAATCAGAGCCTGGAGTGATGGCGATGAGTTCAAGGGCCGACTGGTTGACGATGGGATCGATGCTTGCCAAAATGTTGAATATCTCAAGGTAGGCAGCCTTGACGACGGGGCATGTCTTGAAGTTGTCACTCTCGTCGGCAAGCCTGCGAAGGAGAACCTTGAGTTTGGATGTATCTTCGGAAACATCCGCACCCAAGCTGGTCTTGCGCTCCAGAACAAATCTTGTCAGCAGGAGGACACCATGGATGCGGTTGGCGCGATCCTCAGACTCCTCAAAGAGCCGCTGGATTTCTGCGACCCAGTCTCCTTGAAGAAGGAAGGAGCAGAGTGTCCTGGCCGCAATTTCTCTGACGTGCCAGAGGTGGCTATCGAGGTAGCCTTCAATATGACCTTGGAGTTCAGCGCGGTAAGACTCGGGGGGACCGGCACGACGAATGATGTCCAATGCCGGGAAAACGGCCTCCGCGGCGGCTGTCTTTGCATTTTCACCAAGAGCCTTGTTGGCAGACTCCAACAGTCCCAGAATAACACCTGGCAGTGTTGGGTACTTGTTATAAGAAATACGAACGGAGACACCGTCCCAGCCCGATTCGATGATGGCCTTGCTCTCACCCGTTCCAAGCAAGCAGTCGATAAGACTCCTTAGCAACAGGAGACCGCAGTTGCGAATGGCCCATCTATATCTCGTTAGCATTCGATCCGACTGCTGGTGCATGTCTGCAACTTACACTTCGGACTTTAGGTTGTTTGCAGCCAGCTGCAAAGTCCTGGCCAGGTAAGCCTCGGCCTTCTTGCTCAATAATGAGCTCTTGAAGATCTCTCTGAGCGAATTCAGAGCATGTACTTGTGGCAAGTTCGATCCATCAGTTTCCGCTTGCGTGACCGGCTTCTTGCCAATCTCCTCAAGCTCGCTGAAAACCTCGTTGAACGAGGGCGATTCGGCGTTGGCTGTTAGGATGCCGGCAACTAGGGAAGGAATACCCGCAGAACGACGGGTGGTGGAGGCCTGACTCATGATGCAGTTGATGGTGCCCTTCAGAGAGTTAGCATAAGGTAGCCAAAGAGCCGTGATCAGTTCCAAAACATACCTTGTACCATTCGCGAAGCAAAGTGTTGGACCCTGCAGTCTCGTGGAAGACAATGGGGAGCTTTTGCGTAAGCTGGCAACATGTCGTAAAAGTAAGAGATACCGTAGAGAAAGCACCACGATGCCTCAAGCTGGAAAGCTGCTCAAATGTCAAGTACCCGGTATCTTGGAAAACGGGCAAAGGAGGGAACGGCACTCCCGGGCCTGGAGTGAGACGCAACGTCTGGAGCATCAGTCGCATCAGGTTGCTCGACTCGTGAACTGCACGGAAACTGTAACTCAATAGGTCTTTGGTGTCCAATCCCTCGATTTCCTCCATCTCCTCGGGCAAGTGGCCTTCCGGAGAGTCATCGCATAGCACATGCCTGACTGCTACCCAAATACGCTTGGCACAGTCGAAGACGCGCTGATATAATTGATGGATGGCTTCCAACTGTGTTTCGGAAAAGGTCTCCTTGGCCAGCACAGGCCACGCATAGCTGATGGCGGCAAAATCTGGATGTACGGGGTTCTCAATGGCGGCGTGGCCCAAGTCCTTCTCTGCCTTTGTGACCTTGTCTTCAAGACCACTGATGATCTTGGAAATGTGAGCAATCTGGAGATCTGCACCATCTAACCATCGGCACAGAAGTCCCTGGGAGCGAGCAGCGCCGTCACCGTGATCAGCGCGGCCAGTTCTGTCTGCCAAAGCCCGGGCTTTTAGGCAAAAGTCTTGCAAGACCTCGAGTTGGGTCTTGCTATTGAGACTGGGTTGTGCGGGGGACTTGATGATTTCTTGAGAGAACAAACCCAGAAGGTTAGAGGCGGAGTCTCTGACATCGTCAAAAGGGTCCAAGAGTAGATCCAGAAGAAGGCGGATCCAAGTGAAATCCGAAGATATTGACTTTGAAACGTCCTCATCGACAACATCATCCGTGGCACCAGCGTGTTTTCCAACCTTCAACGCCAAAAGTGCCGCTCTCATGGCTGTGATGTGGCGTTGGTAAGACGTTGTGGGCAAAAGCTCACCCTTCAAAAACCCAAGGTACCACGAAAAGAAAGCCTCGTGGCGGTCAAGTACCTCCCTGGCCTCAGTGGGACTCTTCAACAAGTTCTCAGGAGCGGGCTTCTTCTTTGATGATGTCGTATCCTTGTCCGCAGGCGCCGGGTTCTGCTTGCTGGCTGCTTGGGCAAGGCTTCTCTGGGCAACGGAGATAACGTTCTTAACACGCCGAATCAGGTTCTTCGTATAGCCGAGCACCTCGTTGCGCAATTTGGCGTCAAAGTCGGCATGGAAGGCGGCGAGGTGCTTCCTGAGTAGGTCAAACGCTATCCGGGAAAAGGGCTTCGTAGTGGCCTGGGATGAGACCAACAAGGAGAAAGCGCTGGATCTGACGGAGAGTGAAGGATGTGTGAGGAAGCTTTCGAGGACAGTGTCCCGAAGAGTTACCTTGCTTGAAGACTGAGAAGCGTCAATATCATTGCTGGGTTCTTCCACGAGACCGAACCGCTTGCCGGTCTCGAGTGTCGCCAACTGGAGCAAGAGAGTCAGATCGGTCAGATCCTGTGTAGATCCGACGGGTATCTCGCTGCGGTTAAACGCCTCGAGCAGCTTCAGAGATTCGACCTTGTCAGTCTTGAAAATAGGAACTAGGACGTAGTTCTTGATATCCTCCAAGACTGCTGGTCTCTGGGCCACAGCCTCCTGTAGCCACGTCTTCCAAACATCGACAGTGAAATTTTCGCTTTCTTGGGTACTTAAACCCTTAAAAATATGCACAAGACATTTGCCGGCATGAGGGCAGACGTAGGGAAGCTCCATCCATGAGAACAGCTCAAAGACAAAGGACTTCCACACGGAGAGATGAGGTAGATCGGCGACAGAAGAGTCGACCTCGCGATACTTGCGAGCAACATCGTCGAGGGAAAGAACCTTTTTGTTCAAGAAGTGGTCCAGACACTGCAGGCCAGACTTGGTCAGTTGCATGGCAGACTTGCGAGCGACAATCTCCACGATGGTCTTGAGGATGTGTTCCTTCACTGCCTTCCCAGTCTCGGGTTTGGGATTGATGGTCGCCGAGGCCACAAGAACATCGAGAATCAGTCTCAGGGCACGATGCGGGTCGTGTTCATACCACTCAAGGTAGAAATGAAAGAGCTTTGTTGAGACAGGCTCGGTGAAGGCCCATTCCTTCAGCTTCTCGTCTTTGGCCTTGGCGCATTGCTGAACAAAGCTGCAGAGCCTTACGACATCGTGACCATTGCCGTGATACTGGCGAGACTCGGAGGCGTTGCTGAACAACTTGGCGAATATTGCCTGTGCGATGCTAACACTGGTGTTAGTGAATGTCTGTATATGTGTGATTGAGAATTTCTCACAAAGAATAACTGGAAACTGAAGATATCCGAAAGAAAAGAAACCTACACTGGGAGTGACTCGGTGGGTTGTGACAACAGCCACTTGGTGATGGTGTTGGCATTTTCAAACACTTCAGGGCCCAGTCCGGCTAGCAGAGCGTCCGTGTCAATGGTGCTGCTGCCGGGGGCATTTTGCTGGACTTGGGTTGACTCCATCCCCGCAGTCCAAAAGGGAAGTTATGATTGAGGGACCGGGTTTAGACGTGCATCCGAGACTTCGTTGCAGAGTGATGACTGGGGAAAGGGAGGCAATGAAGAAGGAGCGAAGAGTGGTAAGTGCCTGACCGTCAATGAGCCCCCCAGTTAGAATTGAGGGCCTGAAGTTACTGTGATAGTAATCCACCTCTCTGCTGGGCACTCATGTAAAGTATGAGCGACGAGTTGTGAAATTTTGGGATCTTCAAAGGCCTATAGCATCACCCACTGTGTGTTTACATCCACTGCGCATGTTCTGGGGTGAATCCACTCCGGCCACCGTGCTTGTTTTGGGTCTGAAGTTGCCTGCCGCCATGCCAAGAGATACCCCTGCACTGTATAGAATCACAAACGAACCCCGTAAAAGATGCAAAAGCGAAGTCCTGAGAAACCTATGAAGGGAACATGGAGAATCCGTTGAATATCTCTGTTCAAGGCGTAGTCTAGCTTCAGATGCCCACGATGTACTGCAGTTGACCTTTCAATAAGGTCTTCTTCATAACAGCTTCCGTTGACTTCCACTTCGATATGTTGACATAGCCTAAGAGTATGTATATTCATATGTAGAGGTACATATGACGCCAATCGCTCGCACGGGCCATGCGGGCGCCGTAGAGGTAAATTTTTTCGAAGTTCCGACGTTATCGGGGGCCAAGACAGGCGTCGGTCCAAGTTGCGCGTGAGCCGGAGCCAATTCGAGATCCCATCCGTCTCGCCCACCGACCCGTCCGTCACTCCTCCGAAGATACGATAGCTTACTTAGTTGCCGACGGCACCACCCACCCACCCTTCCCTCCGGCTACCCGTCACCACTCTTGCGCGCAGCAGTCCGCGGTCTATCTGCTTCGTGTTTCCCAACTGTTTGACGATCCGATAACCCATCGAACCCCTCCACTTCAGTCACAATGTCCGGCCTTTGGAACACCCTCACCGGAGGCAACAAGAAGCAGCAAGAGCAGCAAGAGCCCGCCGCACCCGCCCCCAGCGCACCTCAGACAACCACCACCACCGCTCCTTCATATCCCTCACCCTTCGATGCTAGCCAGCCCCAAGGTGTCGAGGCCTTTCTCGGTAGCTCTTCCTTCGCCGACCCCACACAACTACACCCTCTCGCCGGCCTCAACAAGGAAACACTAGAATACATCTCGCTTGAGGATACCCCGCTGCCCGATGCCGCCAGCGCCTCAGTTCTGCCCTCGCGCGGCTTCACCGACGACCTCTGCTACGGAACCGGTATCACCTACCTGACGGCCCTCACTATCGGAGGCGCGTGGGGTTTGAAAGAGGGTCTCCAGAGATCGGCCGGCCAGCCGCCCAAGCTGCGCCTCAACTCCGTCCTTAACGCCGTCACCCGTCGCGGTCCCTACCTCGGCAACTCGGCCGGTGTTGTCGCCATCTGCTACAACCTAATCAACGCCGGCATTGGTTACGTGAGGGGCAAGCACGATGCCGCCAACTCCATCCTGGCCGGTGCGCTTAGTGGTATGCTCTTCAAGAGCACCAGGGGTCTGAAGCCCATGATGATTTCGGGTGGTATTGTTGCGACGATAGCCGGTGCTTGGGCGGTATGTTACCATTTTTCGTATGGCAGGCGTAGACTGGAAATACACCTTGCTAACTTGACTGTGTCACTAGGTCACCAGGAGGACGTTCTTCCCCTCCCCCCAGACCAACGAGGTTGACTGAAGTGGGGACGAAGAATGAAACAGGAAAAAAAAAAAGTCGTCTTCTGTTCCCTTCATCCCACGACTCTCTGGCCATCTATCGTTGCTCCATGAAAAGAGTGCATAGCTAGCCAGCCTTCTCTATTATTTTAATCTTCGAGAGAACCGACAGAAAAAAACCAGTGTCTTTCTCTCCAGCACGGAAGACCACTGCGAAGAAGATGTGTGTCTGTTCTTGGGTCAACACGGAGCAAAGGGGCAGCAGGCACGGACTGGTGGATGTGTACGAACAAGAGAGGGAAGAACGAAAATAAAGCGACACTGGGCTGGGCAGGGCTTGAACAAGGCAGGACATGGAAGAGGGGCCAAAGGGCAGGGTGTGTGCATAGTGGTGCATAGCGCAAGGGTTAGTCTCATCTCTCTCCTCCCCGTGTGTGGAAAATTGTATGTATTATAGCGGATCATATGGACATAGAGCGCAATCGCCCCGGTTGGGCATATGGGGCATTGCGGCAGGCTTCATTCAAACTTTGAGTCTATTGCGGGTTGTACATGACTGTTGGCTCCGGGTTTTATGATAAGATAATAGAGGTAATGTTTGGTGTGGGATATATTGGGCATGTCACCCTGGCACACGTTTGTGTCGAGAATAATTGCAAGCAGGTGTGAATTCAAAGTTCGAAGCGACTAAGGGGCAGGACTGCGAATGAACATATTCACTCCCTTAGGATAAGGCCCATGATCTCCGACGAATTCCATATTCGCCGCAAGACCGGAAATCGTACGCACATTGTTCCTCGAGTATTCCCCATGCAAATCTTCGGCTTGAGAACAACAGGCAAGCACCAGTTTCAATACATGGAAGCTGAGAGATCAAGACAGGTAGGAAAATACGATCCTTTGAGAATCGACAGACTAGACGTAGTGAGCTACAAGTCTCGGTAACGATGACAACTTTGCCTCTTCATGCTAAGTCCCTCTACAAATCCCGTTCTAGCTTTCTCTAAGATCGGAGACTAATAAAGGAAATTTCCCATCCATATCTTTGGTGATAAAAAGAGAAACTACCACATCATCGAGCTTACATCGTTTGGTTCCTGGTGTGGGATGCTGTTGCAAAAGGAGAAAGGCGAGCTCGACATGATCATATGTAACGTGTAATGTATCCCCACCTTCTTCCTAAACCACCATAGAAAGCCACTTGAAGAATATACAAAAACTCGATAGTATACCAACATAACACTTTAGCATAGAAAGAAGACAACGTCGGACCTATCCACCTTTGTCAGTTTAGGATGAACCGGGGCAGCGCATTCACGAACCACAACAAAAACCAAGCAGGCAATGAAGTCGTAGATGACATAAGTATCAACAAACAAGATGATCAGGTGCACGAAATGTAATGTTCCTATCTTGAGTAGGCGGGTATCATAGATCATGTCTGAATACTGCCAAGGCATACGTTCATAAATTTCATACACTAAGAACAGTCGTCACAGCCGGGTCGTCATGTGGGCGTAAAGTGCCTTGAGTTGTGCCTCCCGTTTTCGGTTGCGGGAGCCTCATACCTGCCCCGGCCGGCTTTCGCCAAGTACCTAATCAAAAAAAAAAAAAAAAAACAAAAAAAAAAAAAAAAAAAAAAAAGAGGCAGACGAACTTTAGGAAGACGGAACTTCAACTGCGCTGCCGCAGTTGGGAGACATAAAAACTTCAAACCAACTCGATTACTGATTTGTACCGCGCCCGCCGCATATCAGGAAGAAGGACCATTACCGCCACGACAACGGCAAAAATACCCCGAATTGAAAGCACCCACAGCAATTAGAGAAGAAGCAGTCAACATGTGCTGTTGCATTCCTTGCTGGCCGTTTGCCGACGTCGATTTCGAGCGCGAACCGGTCAACCGGTACGGCGACAAGTATCACTATGCGTTTAACGAGAGCACGAGGGCCTGGGAGCTCCGCGATGTGGTAAGTTTGTTTGCTTTCCTTGTTGCAAGATTTCCACCCAAGAAATTGGGAGCAGCAGCAGGTCAGGTACCTCTGAGGGTTAGTACTCTCTCTTGGATCCGAGGACATCGAGCAGACTCGAAGACTTGTTTGAAGGAAAGAGCGTTTGTTGGCAGGACAACGATCACGAGGATTCAACGACAGATCCAAAGTTGCTTGGCTACAACGCGGGGCTGCAGGTTTCCCATGTGGATATCTTGCCGTGATCCCTTCACTCGCGCTCAGTTTCTGCGCTCCCCAGGCAACAGCGGATCACCTTCCATTCACTTACCACTCACTTCTACGGATTTCACCTCTGGAGATTACCCAACGACAGGCGGATTCTGCAGCAGAGGATCACGCGCTGAAGTGGAAGCTAGCCACAAGACACGCTGAGAGATCGATGTCAGAGGGACTGCATTGGCAGCCGTGCTGGTGGTGAAGATTCTGCGACGACCCTATGGCAAGAAGTGGAGGCGGTCAGCGAGCACCTTTTTAAATCCACGCCGCGCACTTACACCCATGCCCCTTCCCTTTTATTTCCTTCGGGCCCTCCTTCCTCTCGTATTCTTCACAAACAACCCTCTCCACTCAAGCCGGACCACCGCACACGCCGGAAGTCCACCTTGAGAAACCAACTTTGCGTCCCAACCCATCATGGGCGCGCCTCCAGACAAGGCCAACTTCAAATCTCCAAAGAGGGTTTCTTTTCAACAAGGCCTCGAGAAGGACGTCCAGCCACTCCCCTTAAAGTCCGCCCTGCGCAAGCGTCCATCATTCCAGGAAGAGTCACCTGCCCAGGAAGAACCGACCAGTCCTGAGCACTACCCCGCCTTTCCGCCTGCCGGCCCGGGAGTTTCAACGTCCTCTCAACAAGTCTTCACTCATCACACAGGCCCGGGAGGAATACAAGCCGACCACAAGGCAGCGCAACACCATCCCTCCTTCATCCCCGCGTCGCCTTATCAACAACTCCAACCGTGGCAACTCGGCTATAATCAGCAAACCGCCCAGTGCCAGACCGTGATCCCTTACCTCCCAACAACATACCAAGTCAACATGTCCCAGTACGCCCTCGCCCCGGCCAATACTGGCGTCCATTTCCAACCCCAGGTTGGCGACACCTCCACCGGCCCTGAGCTTCATTACTATACCCCGCGCCACGACGGACAGCTTGGTCTCCAGATGCCTGTCCAGCAGGCCGCTCAGTATATGGTCAGTCAGACTTGTTCTCCGTCCTCGAGCATGCAGGAGCCCGTAGTTGGGAAGCAGTACCCACAGTAATACCAGGTGCCGAACCAGGCTCCCAACCAGATACAGTACCAGTACCAGAGCCAATACCATGGCCATTATCAGAGCCAGTGGCAGGCCGGACTCTACCCGACTTGGGACCAACAGCAACAGCAATACTTTGCAAGTGTCGTTGATTTGCGTTTTCCACTTGTTTTTTTTGCGTCCTCACTGCCAGTAGTTCGAGTGAACCACTGCTTCCCGTGTCCTGACTGCTTGCTGCTTTCCAAAACATCGCCACTGATAAACGAGCTTTCAAGAGTCGAAATTTGCTAACTGGTCACAGGCTACCGGAATACCCGTTCCGATGCAGCAGGTTCCCGGCGCCGCTCCGCCCGGCTATATCGTCCAGCAGCCTGTCATGCCGCAGCCTGCCATGCAGCCGGTCTTGGTCCAGGCCCAGCCTGTCCCCGGCCAGCCCATGATGATGGCTCAGCCCCAGCCTGCGTACGCCCCGGGCGCGACCGTGATCGTTGCAGGTAATGCTCCAGTTGCCCCCATGCCTGCGGTCCCCGGTGCCGTTCATCCCGAGCCCGCTCTCGGCGTGGGCCTCACTGCCAGTGAGGTTGCCGCAAACAACGAGCAGATCGCTTATGAGAACAACATGGATGAGGCACAGGATTTTAAGCCCGCCGACGATGACCCGTCTCGCATGTATCGCTGCCGTGAGGTTGACGGAAACTGGACCCTGCGCAACAGGTTCACGATTGACAACCTTGGCGACTGCCGCTGGTACATGACCGACGATGGCGTCTTCTACGCCGTCCGCATGCAGTCCTAAGTCTGGATGGAGAAAAGGAGACGGGTTTCTTGGTAAGTTGTTCCGCATGCGCTTGTTGACATCGGATGCTAATGTCTGTAGACACCATCACCATTCATCGTTGGCAAGGTTCGGCGTTTTGCGGGTTCGGTCACTGGCGCTTGGGATTGCGTCTTTTGTTTTGATTCTGGTTTTCCTCTTCATTTTGCGATCAATCGGCTCAAAGGGTTTGCCTTCAGTGGAAGCAAACAGAAGCTTGAAGTTTCCGAAGGTAGCAATTGTGATTGGCACATTGGGTCGACGTCAAACTATTACCTGGTTTAGTTCTTGCTTGACATTGCAAGCAGACGGATGCATAAAGAATGTTTCTGGCAACAGGCAATCGCGTTTGCAGGACGTTTGCTACTTAGATATCGGTCCCCTCACAGCAGTGCTTAATTAAATATCCAGTTGCCTAGCTTTGGTGCCCTTCGAGGTATGAAGACTGTCATCGAAAGGTCGTCGACCTGAGATTGAATGAAACGATGTCGTTCAAGGTTGGCTAGGAGCACCCCTTGTGATAAATGATGGAGGTTGTCATATGCAAGGAGGTACCTGCCATTATGTACAATATTGCTGCATGAACAGCAAAGTCTTTCTGTTAGTATTCTAGCTGCAAGAGATATATGCCAAATGGAATAAGGCACATATCACGCCGTGTGTCTGTTAGTGTGATCGCTAGGCTGCTTGTGTCGTAAACACTGACCACTAGATGGAGCTCAGTGGGTACTTACCTGTCCGGATGTGTGGACTGTCACCCCACCCCCGCATCGTCTGAATCCTTGGATGGCGCAATGTTTCTGAACCAATCGTTGACACCTGCCCGACCCGCCCATTTTGGGAACATCAACGACATCACCTCATGAAGAATACCTAGTATCGACATGAAACAGCGTATACTTGTAAATATACACTCAATCCATATACACCTCAGGCCATTGCACACAGTTGTTCATACAATCGTACACACAACTCAAACTTCATCAAACAACTACATCCCCAAACAACTACCAAGATGCTTCTCATAGGCCTAACCGGCTCCATCGCCACCGGCAAATCAACCGTCTCCTCCCTCCTCTCCTCACCCCCCTATAACCTCCCCATCATCGACGCCGACCTTCTCGCTCGCAAAGTCGTCGAGCCCGGCACCGCCGGCTACAACGCCATCGTCTCCTACTTTGGTCCCACCACGCCCGACCTCCTCGTTCCCTCCGGGCCCGATATGCCCGAAAACGGCCCCACAGGAAAAGGCCGCCCCCTCAACCGCCCGGCCCTGGGCCGCCGTGTCTTTGGTGACTCCCCCGAGGTGCGCAAGGACCGCGCCCGTTTAAATTCCATCGTCCACCCGGCCGTAAGAAAGGCGATGGCGCTGGCGGTGCTGAAGGCGTATGTGAAGGGATACAGAGCCGTGGTGCTGGATATCCCGCTGTTGTTTGAGAGTCAGTTGGACAAGTTCTGCGGGACGGTATTGGTGGTTGGAGTGAAGGATCCAAAGGTGCAGATGGAGAGGTTGAGGGCTAGGGATCCGCATTTGAGCCAGGAGGATGCGGAGAATCGGGTGAGGAGTCAAGGGGATGTGAGGGAGAAGGCGGAAAGGGCGCTGGAAAGGGGGGAGGGGAGGGGGTGCGTGGTTTGGAATGATGGAGATAAGAGGGAGTTGGAGGAGCAGGTGCGGAGGGTATTTTGGCAGGGGGTGGTGGAGAAGTATAGTCCGAGGTGGTGGGCGTGGTTCTTGTGGATGTGCCCGCCGGCGGCGGTGGTGAGTGCGTTGTGGAATTATTGGGCGAATTTGAGGGTGGATAGGAGGTGGAGGGAGAAGAAGGAGGCAGAGAGGGCGAAGTTGTGAGTGAAAGGGGGGATTTGTGTTGATACCCGCCTAGTCTCTAGATGGGATTGCGAGAGGACACGATGATGAGATGAGGACGGTCGAGGAGAAGGACACGTGGACGGAAAAGGGTGGAAAGATGGCAGATGAGTGAAGGGGACATTTTCTCAGTAAGGAAGGTGAATTGTCGTGTTCACTTTATCTTTTTTCGTGTCTTCAAGGTTTCTGTTATCGTCCTGTTCCAGTCTCATCGGGCCTGTCTGTCAAAAGAGGAATTCACTTTACAGCCACGACAATGATGGAACGTGGTGGATAAGTGGTATACAGACTGAAGGGATATCCTTCTCGGCTGGCGACGCCATGATCTGTGGTCTGTTGTCCCTTTTTCTTTTGTTATCAAGGTTTGGTTCACGTCCTGTTCGGATGCAATGGACGTTGGCCGTTTAAAAAAGCCGTTCACCATGCAGCTGATGTTTTGGTTTCGACTTGATAGTCTCGATGATAGGGACAGGGTCGATACGACGAGGTGAGCTTGGGATCAACCACATATCAGATTGATAACAGCAACAATTTGCGAGGTGATTTGGGAACTGGAATTTCTTACGTTGCAGAGGATATAAACCCTCCTCCCTCCCCTCCCCGCGGCAAGCTTTTACTTCTTGTCTCTTTCCTCAGAGTCGTCAGTTTTTTTCATAGCAGAACGCTCATATAAGCCATCTGCGCCTTGAACACTCTTCTCGATCACCATATATAGCCTTAGGCAATTACACCCTCCCTTCCTCACAAAGTCGTCACATCTTGTACGGCACGTCACATCCTCCACCACAGAAGTCGACATCGCAAATAACCTTCACCGTCCGACACATTTCAACTCCGCTTGAAGCGTATCCAAGCTCATAGGTTAGTCTCCCAGCCTATTTGAACTTCACAAATAATACCCCTCTGAGAAGCTCGCAACTGTCTATTCAGGACTCGTGCTCTAACACTCCATTGGCAGTATCTATATACATATTCATAATATTAATCACGAAAATGCCTGACGGAATCTCACCCGAGGAAAAACGGCGCCTACAGGAGCAGGAACGCCGTTATCAGAAGGCCGAGAAAGAGGCTCGGGCCGCTTGGCAGCGTGGCCTTGAAAATGAGCGAGAGGCTGCTGAGGCTCTTCAAGAAGAAAAGAAGACCCACTTGGGGAAGCGCAGGGTATCGTTTGATTCTTCGCGGAATCAAACATACCTTCTGTACAGCCAGTCCCCTCAGCTTGACCCTACGCCTGCCCAATCCACCGATGCCGGCGAGCCCTTCGAGGAGCTCCTAAGCGAAAGATACCGATTACTTGTCAAGGAAATTGCATCCTTGCGTTCCGGGTTTGCCGAGCTCGAGTTTCTTGAAATCAAAGAGGCTGAAGAGGAGGCTCTCGCTCGGAAAGTGCAGGCGCACGAAGCGGCCAGGCTAGAGCAGGAGCGCCACCGAAAGAAGGCCGAAGAGGAGGCTCTAAGAACCAAAGAGGCTAAGGAGAGTGTTTTTGCCCTCATACAGCGGGAGGGCGAAGCGGCGCGCAGAAAAGATGAGGAAGCTTGGAAGGAGCAGAAGCGCCTCCGTCAGATGGCCGAGCAGAAGGCTCTCAAAGCCGCAGAGGCTGAGAAGAAGGTACTTGCTCGTGTTAAGCTGGAGTACGAAGCCCGGAAGGAGCAGGAACGCTGTCGTCAGATGGAGAAGGAGAAGATAGTTTGGAAGCGTGACCTTGAGAACGAGCGCCCATCCACCAGTCAGGCTCATCCATGGAAACCAGAGCAGAGTCCATATCCTCTGAGACCCTCGGGTCAACAGCACCCACCGACAATGGAATACCCAACCATTGATCACTCCCATTTGAAGCATTATCAGCATGGGCATCCGAGCCCCCGCCAGGCCCCATCAGCATCTTCAGTACCGGTCGGTCTTTCTGGATTGCCTGCGGTGTCTCTCTGTTCTGACTTGGCTCCGGACGTCACTTGTTACGGAGACAAGGGCCGAGACCGCTCCGACTATGCAGGTACATTCGGATCGAAAGAGAAAGAACACTTGCACCAAGAGTGTTTTTCTTCGGCGCCCCGGCCAAATTGGTCTACACCTTCGGTGCCAGTCGGTCTTTCAGGCATGCCTGCTGGATCTTTGTGCTCAGACGAAGCTCCAGAGGTTGCCAGGTACAAAGACGAGGGTCGAGGTCGCTCTGGCTACACAAAAGCCTATGGATCGAAACATCAGGAACCCTCACACCGAAATCGTCTCCGTTCGGCTCCCAGCTCGGATTGGTCTATGCCCCCTGTACCTGCTTGGAAGTCTCCTACACTCGAACCGCAGGTAATAAAGCAGACTTTGGTCATTCCGGCTCAGCGCTCATGTTATGCGGGAGTGGAGACTCCCAAGGAGCAATGGCCATTGCCACCCACACCTGCTCCTAGTAACAATGAGCCTCAGGTTCCCACCCGTCTAGAGAGTGAACAAGAGAAGCTGCAACGAGAATTGCGGGAAGAAAAGAGGAAATTCGACCAGGGGATAGCCAGACTACGGGCTGAGGTGGAGAGGAAAGGGCAAGGCCACGGCGCAAGCAGCGTTGCGTCATGGCAGACGGGATGCAAGTCCGTCTGGGAGGATCCCACGAAGGTGGCTCCTGAAAATACTGCCAATGACAGCTCCAGAGACGTTGCCAAGGCTGTACTGAAGGATGTTGCCGTTCAGACCGGGAATATTACTCCTGAAAATGACACTCGCAAATCGCCCTGGGAGCGCGGCACGGAAGGCCACGGTCGAGACTCGAATGTCGACTACAATGGTCGAAGCCTCAGCCGGACGACCAAATATACCCGTCAGTATGAGGCGGAGGACTTGAGCCCAAGTAACGATAACCGTACGGAGAGGCTTTCCAAGGCGCATGTCCGCGCCAAATCACTTAAGCTCAAACTGCCCGTGGGAACCAACCCTCCCTACGTGCCACCAACTCCTTATTGGCACCCATCGTTCCCTCCCAGCCTTCCTCCCATACCCTCAAAGCGCTCGAGTGTCCCCGGCCCCGCTGTGGCTATCCTTCCTCTTTCGACCTTGGATAAACAGAATGATCAATACGGAGATCTCAAAACGCCGATGCCCCCCGGCAGCTGGTTGAGAAACTAGCTGGATTTTGATAACTGGCTGGCCAACGTTCCGGCCCCAGCGTCCACAACTACTATCCCCTAGCGGCTGAGAAGAAGGTCAATCCGGCGAAGTACTGAGTCTGGGGCGATGAGATGGCTGCCGCGGTTGGCCAAGACTGGGGAGTGTGGTTTACGGAATGATGGGACGTGGGGGTGCTAGTGCACCAGAATAGGTATTCGCCGACATTTCTCGGAAGGGATTGAGGGTAGTTTTTCTTCTAGCTTAACGAATATCTTGCTTTTTTTATCAGGGGTAGCACTCCTCCCAACTCTATGTCTGTCTATGTGCGCTTCTTTCTAACTTCACGTACCTCTTTTCCACATTTTTAGGATATGGCTACACGTACACACGTGGGTACTGGCTCCTGTGTTTCCAAGTTTACTAACAGGGCTATGATCAAAAGATAGTTTTGGTGTTAGTTTCAGTGTGATTCTCCTACAAAACATCTTCGATTTCAAGAGTGTCATGTTGGCGCCTCTTGATGCGGGACATTCTTGACACTGGGTAGCCCCATCGCACCAAATTTACAGGTAGACATAGCATAGCCCAGTATCATCATATCTTTCTTCTCCTTCTGCTTCTTCTTGTATGGATTCAGTTTCAGATTCAGATTCAAATACCGTCAGCCATCGCAGCATATCCACACGGCATTTCCACATATCCGTTTCCTAGGCTTTTTACACCACTAGTTTTCAACCACAGGCTAGAAGAGCCTGTTAAAGCACGCATCATGTACTGAAGATTTTACATTTAGATCGGCGAAAGCGGTTTAAAAAACCTGTCCTTGCGCCGGTGGACCACTTCACCACCCGGATCATATTTCTGTGCAAAAGGACGATATACCGAACCTGACAAGTCGATCCAGCAAGGTGCTGCCTATATAGTCGCGATGGCAGATGCATCTGCGCCTGGTACGTAGAATCAAAAGGCGGTGCGAGACAACAAATGGGAGGTTGTGAGGAGGTTTTCCCTTCACCAGAGTCAAAACCTTGAGTCAAGGCTAAGGAAGGCCCTTTCACCTGTCGAGTGCACATTAGACCAACGTCCGAAACCTTTAACTCAAACAAAATTGAGGAAAACCCCTTCACCTGTCGAGCGCACTTCACTTTGCGGGGCAGTATTGGAAGGTCCATTCCCCAGGCCGCAGAGTATATGAACCGTTCCACCCCCAGCCAAAAGTCCAATCCTTTTTCACTTCCACAACTTTTGCACCTTCAAGTCTTCGACCATATCACCTTCTCACCCCTCCCACCGAGTCATCACTTCTCTGCGTCAGAAGCAAATCACCAATATCTCAACGATCTTCACGTCATCCACGACATTTCAAAATCTCTATGTCAGTCTCTTGCTCCCTTCTCACATCCATTTGCCTTCGTCGCAACATGCCCTGCAAACCATACGCGCTAACATCTCGTTGATAGTAGCTACATACCTGACAATTGATTACTTTCCTCCTACCGCCACAGCGGCTCGTGGCAGAATCTCCACGCCTGTTTCACCACATCGACAATATGTCGCCCACCAACGAGCAGGTCGTGGGACCATTCGCCCCGGCTGTTACCAGAATCGGCAGCAATGTTTTCGACAAACTCGAGCACATGCAAAAAGCCATATACAGGCTCGAAGAAGAGGTTGGGCGCCAGCAAAATGTCCTTGACCGGTACGAGTACAACAAAGAGAAGCATCTTTGGCTAGAGTTACGGCCTCGTCTCATCGAGAACAAGAAGGAGCTCGAGCAGCTACGTGCTATGGCTGCTTCTGAACAGAAGAAGCGTGAAAACCACAAAAAAGCCATTTTCAAGCTTGAAGATGAAGCCGAGCGCTTGGAATTTGCGCTCAATTGTGACAGGTGGCATCGTGAGTACAAGGAGCAATGGGAGAACGCATGGAGTCGTTCTAGAAAGATCGAGAAGGACGTGAAATTCCTGCGTGCTCTGGCTACTCCTGAGGCGAGCAAACTGGAAGAAGAGAAGGCAGCTGCCGAAAACAAGCGCGCTGCTGCGGAGAAGGCAGCTGCAGAGGAAAGGAAGCGCGCTGCTGAGAACGCAGCTACCGAGCAAAAGCGCCGACAGGAACTCCTCAAGCAAAAAGAGGAGGAAAAGAAGGCCTTAGAAGCTCAACTATCTGCCGAAAAGAAGCGCAAAGCAAACGCGGAAGCCGCCGCACAGAAATACAAGGCAGAGCTAGCAGTCGCCGAGAAGAAGCGTACTGCCGAGAAAGCAGCTGAGGAAAAGAAGCGCAAGGCAGAGCTAGCAGCCGCCGAGGAGAAAGGAAAGCATGAACGCATGCAGAAGATCGAGCAGGACGTCCAGTTCCTGAAAGCTCACCTTGCGGAGAAGAAGAAGCATGCGGACCTTCTCGCCAGTCAAAAGCTGAAAGATGAGACGAGCCGCAAGCTTATGGAGGCTTATAGGGCTGAGAAACGTAAACGAGAAGAAGCCGTAGAGGAGGCTCGCCAAAAGCTGGAGGATGCAGAAAGGCGTCTGCGGCTGGAGAACGAGGAAAGACGCAACAAGAGCTATGAGGTCTGGAAAGCTCAGGAGCGTGAACGCCAAAGGGCCGTAGAGGAGGCTTCGAGGAGCGCTGCTCAGAAGGAGAAGGAGACTTCTGATGCTAGAAAAGAGGCTGAACGACGAGCATCTTCAGCACAGAATCCCAAAGAAGTGTCGTTCGATCCTTCACGCGACAAGACATATGACCACCACCCTGCCTCGCGAGACTACTATCGACCTGGGGAGCAGAATGTCCCTCGCACAGATAAGAACAGCCGACAGAAGTACCACCAAGCGTCTCACGATCATTCCCGTCCACAGAACCCACAACACTCTTCTCATCCCCAAAAAGATCCTCACCGACAGGACTACCAGTCAAGGCACCAACTTCCCGCGCGGCCTGACTCACAATATCACCCAGATATTGCCCATCCTACAGCCTTCAGAGCTCCTCCGCACGTTCATCAGGCCCCAGTCGGTTTATCCGGTCTGCCCGCTGGATCCTCAATTGCATCATATTCCCCAGCTGTCGCGCCTTGGGAAGAGAAGGACCGGGGCATGAATGGCTATGCAGCTATGCATGAACCGAGCCAGAAGCCTTCGGTCACTGAGAACAAGTGGTCCACACCAGTGATACCAACTTGGGTTGCACCTGTCCTGGAGTTAAAGGCCATGGACGAGAAGCACTTTTCGTTGCCTGGTCCCATTGCTCAAGCCGAGTCGCCGAAGGAGAAGTAGCCATTGCCACCCTTACCCATTCCTAGCCCCAGGAAAATCGATGTCTGCGCTCCTCGAGAGACGGAAGAGGAGAAGCTTCGACGGGAACTGGACGAATACAAGGCAAAATGCGCAAAGCTAGCCGCCGACTTGGAGAGAAAGAAGCGAGTTTCCGGTGCAGACAGTGTGGCGACGTGGCAGACGGGTACCAGATCAATTTGGGAGGATCCAACTAAGGATACCCCGAAGACCGATTCTAAGGACGCTCCCGAGAGTTCTGAGGACACTCGCAACAATTCTTCGAAGCCGGCAGTCTCTGTGCAGAATCTTCGTCGTCGGCAACCCAGTGTCAGCTACCCTCATCACCTTTCAAAGAGCCATACCGAGGCTCCTCACCACGAGTCAACCGTCAACCGCGATGGTGATCGGCCCAGCAGTCGAACAAGCACACATACTCGCTACTTCGAAGCAGAGGAGTATGTATCTGCCGATGAAGAGCACACTCCGAGGGGCAAGTCTTCGAAGTTCGCCACCCAGCACAACTGGCAGAAGGCATCAAGAGAATCAACTCCCCGCTATGTCCCTCCTACACCTCACCGGCACCCTTCCCCTCCCCCGAACCTGCCTCCCACACCTCCTCGCGGATCCAAGGTGTCCACTCCAGCGACACTCCGGCTGGCCCCTAGGGAAGATACCAGCTCCAGCAAGAACATTCAGACGCCCAAGCTGCCTGGCATCCCCGGCAGCTGGTGCGATGAGCCGTTGCGGGCGAATCCTAGCTGGCCCGCCAATGTCTCGACCCCGAGCATTCAAAGTCCTGTCATCCCCGCTGGCAAGGCGAAGGAGACGTACAAACCCGACCGGTACATCCCGCCTTGTAATGCTCCGAAGGATGTAGCCCCTCCTGGCTCCTACCTTTTCGCGGATGCTCGACCCAAGAAGCCGAGCTACAACTACCCCGTGCCGCCATACTACCCCAGCCACGCAGCCATCACCCCACAACCAGGCCCTGCGTTCTACGCTCCGGTGGCTTCCTATGGCCATTTGTACGCTTCTGATGCGCGCAAGTTTCCTTCTGAGGTAGACGTGGAGGCTGGACCATCGAGACATGGTGGGCAGTACTCACCCTGGGCAGACCAGACGGCTGCTCAGAGTTTGGGAGGTATCCAGGCGCCTCCAAGGAAGGACAAGGGAAAGGGTAAAGCCCGGTGATGTTGCTGATGAGTGGGATTGGTTTTGGGAATGTAAGTTACAGTGAACATTAAGGAGTCATTAGTTCAAGATGATATCTAGGGAGTTCGGCTGATTGATTGGTCGGTATGATAGGAAGAGTGATGATATTCATGGAGATGAGGACAGTTTATAGCTTTCTTCTCAGAGGTTTCGGGGACTGGTACCATCTCGATCAGTGTTTTAGGATCTGGAACGTAACGAATGTCTCTCCGGTCGTGGTTTAGGGGTTTCGGTTTACAAAGAGGTTATGGGACACAACCGTAGGGACTTTAGCAGGGTTTTCAAGAAAAAGGAGCCAACTTAACGAACGTGTGCCTGAGGTTGCTTGTGTGAAAATTATGCTGATGATCATGGAAAAGGACAGGTGATGATCAAATCTCATCCCGTGCAACATCTTCCTGTGACGCTGGTCTTTGATGCTGGTGCTGATCTCCTTGATATCACGAAACTCTTCATGAAAACCGACGGCCAAATGGATGCTTGAACTTGACATCACCATCGTTAAACGTTATGTACTACCGTAGTGGTGCCATCTCAACAGTAAAGTGAGCACTCGTCCATGACACTCACAAACACTCGGGCATTTTAATCTTGATGATATCTCATAGCCGCTTCGGGAAAGGACTACAACGGCTCCGGTAGAGATTCAGGCAGTCATTATGTTTCTGGCATCACTTGAGCAGTATACTGAAATGTATAGAGATATAATTGACGTGTCAATTCGACGACTAACTAGATAACGTCCATGAAAGCCCCGATAACGATACACAGACACAGGAAAAGACATCCCTTGAGTGCGAACCATGGGACAAACATGAAGCAAGACCTGAGAGTGAGTAGAGAAAACTGATCGCAACCCTTTCACGCATTTATCCATCTGCTTCCGATTTTTGCATCCTCAAAACAACACAAAAGAGCAAGCTAGACTAGGCGCCAAGCGGCAACGGAAGTAGTATCCTCAGTGGCGAGGGACATGATTTACTCATCGTCCTCCTCCTCAGATTCCTCCTCCTCAGACTCGGCCTCGGCGAGCCAGGTGAGGAAGGGCTCAGCAGCCTTGCGGATCTTCTTGGAAGTAGAGCCATCGACGTACTTCTTGGAAGCCTTGCTACCCCACTTGGTGATGACCTCCTCGGAGCAGAGGTCGTGGTGGTAGTAGAGCTGGAGAATCTTGACAATCTTGTCATAAGACTCCTTGCCGAGGTCGGCAAGGAGACGCTCGGTACCGCCAAGGAGGGCCTTCTCGTGACGCTCGGAGGTAACGAGTCTCTTGAGCATAGGAGCACGCTTGGGGATCTGAGCAACAATGTTCTCGTCAAAAAGACACTGAACAAGAACCTGGACGGTGCGGTGCTTGGCATCAATGCCGAGCTCCTTGGCCTTGAGGTAGATCTCGACATCGTCGACATGGTTGATGCCACCCTTGGCCTTGGCTTCATCCTCGATCCAAGTGCCGAGCTGGTCGTAGACGGTGTTTCCACCCTCCTCCTCCTCGTCTTCTTCACCATTCAGGACGAGCTTCTGCTTGAATTCGCCAGGAAGGTTCTGCTGACGGGCACGGACGGCCTCCTCGCTCATGTCGACAGCCCACTCCTCCTCCTTGGGAGCATTTCTCTTGTCCAACTGCAAGCTCTGAGCTTCAGACTTGATCTTGCGAGTGAGCTCATCATCGTCGCTAGCATATTCAATGTTCTTATCCTCGATGGCAGGAGAGGCCTGGTCGGAACCGTTCTCGTCACCGGAACCTTCCTTATCGCCGCCGTTCTGGCGAGCCTTGCGGGCCGCCTTGCGCTCGGCCTTGTCCTTCTTGCTCTTCTTGGGGACGTTCTTGAGGATGAAGGAGGTCAGCTTGAGCTGGGGCTCAACCTTGCTGCGCTGGCCACAGGCCTTGCAGTCGAGAGTGATCTTCTCGTCCTTGATCTGAACAACAGTCTCGGGGTTCTTGCACTTCTTGCAGAGGACAAACTTGGAAATGAAACCATCGAGAAGGTCCTGGAGCTTGGCGGCCTCGTGGGAGCCGTTGATGATCCAGCGGTCATCAGGAGGATCAATGTTGGTTTGAGCACCAAGCTCGAAACCAAAGTACTTGATCAGATAGCCGCCGGGACGAGCCAGGGACTGGGCAACGCTGCTGAGGTTGACAACGACGGTCTTGATACCGTTACCCTTGCCTTCAATCTTGGTCTGGATACGCTCCATCTTGTAGCGATAGAAGGGGTCGGGGTTGTCCCGGCGAACGTTGATAAGAGCACCCATTTTTGCGGTATTGACGGCGAAACAGGATAGTGTTTATTGGATTGTTTTGTTGGAGTTTGTTGGGAGTCTGGTAGACGATAGCTAGCGAGGGCAGACTAGTAGACTGGTCGACGATGTCGTGGAAAGCGAGGCTTCTTGTTGCACGGAGAGCGTGTGAGGAAGATCGAGAGGCGAGACGAGCCAAAGGGGTCAGTTATTGACGAGTACTTTGAGTTGACATAGGGTAGACCGTGTGGTTGACGAAGTCGAAGGTAGGCATTAACGCTGGCAGACGACCGTGGGGATGGCGATTCAACCGTCGGTACTTTGTTGGAAGCTACAGGGTTTCCGCGATATGCGAAAATGCAGCTTGACGGGGGGAGAGTGTCGGAAGACGGCGTGCTGGTCGTGCTGATACATAAACAACGCTGTGTCGCGCAAAATGCTTATGTTGGGTCTGGTGGTGGTTGTTGTTCTGAACCTGGGCGGTGCTGGAACAGAAAGCTGGGCGGGAGAGGATGGCTTTTGAGGCAAGCGAAATTTTTTTCTCCCTCTGTGACGAGCGGGCTTCCTTTTCTTGACGGAGCGGAGCGGATGGAGTCGAGTGACTTTGTGTGGGTTTCTGCTGGGATTGTGGATTCACTTCACTTCCGTGGTGCGGCACCCAAAATCCGGGGGAGGTGGAGTTGGTGGACAGATGGACAGAGAGCCCGGTCGCCTTTGTGGTCTTGGATAGATTCAAGGACGATGTCGCTGCTGATGGCGGTTGATGGGTAGAATGAAGTTGAGGTTAGTTAGCAAAAAAGAGGCAGCAAGCAAGAGTTTTTAAAAAAAGGACGAGAAAGCAGTGGATGTGGATCGGTGCTGCAGAATGGAGCCAAACCGGGCACGAGCAACAAGGCGGGCAGTCACTGGACGAGCAAGCAAGAGGATTTGTCGGCCAAAGGATTTTCGTGGTGCCCTGGCTAGGTAAGTAGCCCCCCATGTACTGTACACTACCTAGTGTAGTACCTGTGGCTCATGGCAGAGCAAGTCTAGGGTACTTGTTTGGCAGGCAATCACCACTACCAGTGGGCTGTGGGAAAAGTACCCGAGACATGCGCCCGTTCCCCAAGCTGCCGTACACTACAGGTACTGCGTGCAGTTCGTTCTTTCACACACTTTCGACACCGACAATGGAAGAAGGTCCCGTCGCGTTCCATTCCTACACTACCATCTCCCCGCCCACTGCAACGGGCAGCACAGCAACAGGACGGACGCGCAATGGCGTATGTTCCGGATGGCAAGTCAGGGAAAGATTTTGATGCCATTTTGCCCCTCATCCACTCGGCGTTTCCACACCCTCTGCTTTCGATGCTCGAGTTCCGGCCCAAGGAATGCCTCTTGCAACAAGCTGACTCGCCGGACGGTGGCCAGAAGGCACCTGGACACTGAAGGCCGGATGAAAAGGCGGGACTCTTTGATGACCAGCCGGTATACACTAGAAGATCCACGCAAATGGGGGCGTTCCCTGTGTCTGTGCAATGTCCATCCATCCACACCAGAGACCAGTTCCACTTTGGTTCATTGTACTTTCAGTAACCGAGCAGGCGGAGGAGGCCTTTGTAGTTGTCGGTCAACTGAAGGCGACGGTCTCCCTCTCCGCCGTGTGCCTGGGTGTCTCACAACAATTACAGCTTGTCTGGGAAAGCCAATTTCTCTCCTTGGGAAACTTCGGAGTTACGGGGATGTGAAAAATGGGCGGCATTCGGGAAGAATCCGAAACACATGCGATATGTTTTGTCAAGGGAAGGCGGCAATATCAATCAACGCTTAACTGAGTCTACTATGTACACTAGACTCATGCGACAAGCTAGTGTAGAACCAGCCCGCACCAATATCTAGGTAGATCTGTATCCGGTAAAGCGCCCCCCAAACAGGCAATTACTATGCACATAAGTCGTTAGGTAGGTATTGTGTACGGTTTCTTTCAGGGACGGCATCTCTCACCTCTACGTCTCTCGTTCTCAAGCCATTTGTTTGGCTGCAGGTATCATGTATACTTTCACAGCTCACAAACAACTTGTCTAAATTTCTTGATGACCTTTCGTGGCCTCTTGGCAAGACACCAAGACTGTCAAACATCTATACTTACAGCTACATCTGTTGTAATACAAGCCGTCTAAAACACATCCCTCAAGACCCCTGTACCATCACCTACTGCCCACCGATCGGTTCAAACTTCAACAGACACTTCAGCCCAGCCGGCCTTGTCGATATAAGCTGGTCCTCCATCTCCATGTCCTCCTCCGTCATCGTCTTATCCGGCACCGTAGTGAACTTGGAATACACCTCTCGAAGCAAGATCTTCATCTCGGCCAGTGCCAAACTGCTCACCATGTCAGACACACTCAACAGTCCAAACTCAAACCATGACACACACCCACACAAAAACCAAAGGGAGCAAACGAGGAACACAAAAGACAACTTACTGTTTACCAACACACCCTCTTGCCCCATTAGCAAACGCAAAGAACAACCTCTTCCTCGCCGCATCGCCCTTCTCCTCAAACCATCTCTCCGGCCTGAACGCGTCCGGATCAGGGCCCCATGCCTCCATATCGATCCTATGCATTGAATATGCCTGGCAACTGGCCGTCGTCCCCTCCGGCAGGAAATACCCGTCGATGGTCTTGCCGCCCCTAGGCACGATTCGCGGGAGAGACATGGGAATGGCGGGGAAACATCTCAGGCCTTCCATGACTACGGCGTCGAGGTAGGGGAGTTTGTCAAAGTTGATGTCTGACGAAGGGTGAGAAAGCAGTTCCTCCCGTAGCTTGGTTTGAATTTGACGAGATCGCGGCTGTGAGAGCTCCCACATGAGGAAGCAGAGCGCGTCGCCAGTGGTGTCGATGCCGGCTACCATGTGATCGAGGAGTTCCGCAGCGATGTCGAGCTGGTCTATCTGTCCGATTTTACTGTCTTTACCGTCGTGCTCCCCGTCACCGTTACTGTTGCCCAGCCTCACGGTGTGAAGGCGGTTGAGAAGGGTGAAAGGTGCTGCGTCCGTCTTGGCGGCGGTGTCGAGGATGAACTTATCGGCTAGAGGAGTCTCGCGCGGCTTGATGCCACAGATGTAGAGGATTTTGGAGATTGCCTTGTGTAAGGTGGGACTGTAGTAACTTAGTTGGCGATCTTTTTTTTTTCGGTGAGTAGTAGGTAAGTCAGCCATTCGTTTCGTCCAGGTGGCCAGTGAATTTGGCGTGGGTTTGTAAATCGTGGGGGAGGGGGGGTCACTTGGGGCACTCACTCTGCAAACTGTCGTCGAACGTTATTTCACGCATAATCTCCTCATCTTGCTTGTTCCGAAGCGAATCCGTCCCATAGGGATGGAACAAGTGGTGCGTTACGCAGTCATAGGCGTATGAGTGAAGGCCTGCGTGCTGGAGTGTAAGCTGTTGAGTTCAACATTTACTTGGTGGTGTTCATCATGGAACCCAGAAGAAAACTTACAAATCTAGGGAGCAGGTCAGTTATGAGTTGCCGCGGCCTTCGTGTCATATTGTGCAATAAGCTTACATATAGATCGAGGCTTCCATCCAAGGACTCCGCACACCTCTTCACTACCCTGTCCGCCCGTTCAATGATGCCATTGAGAGGTTTTTGACGCATAACATTGCTGTTGGCATAGCGGTCCGCGAGAATTCGTTTCCGTTTCGCATGCTTGAATCATGAAAATTATTAGCTTGGAAGTACATTTTTGAGCTACGTTCAGCGATTAGACTCACGTCGTCTTTCTTCAAAAACGTAAACATCGTCCTGAAAAAAAGCACACAAATCAGCTCCTCGAGACCAAAGCATATTAGCCAAGCCATCCATGATGTCTAAACCGCAATGCACCCCCTCTCCGCTTCCTCCTCCTCCTCTTCTTTCCAACTTTTCCTCCTCCTCTAACCAACATCTCCCTTTTCCCCTTCCCGCTCTACCCCATTCTGCCACCTTTCACACTTATCTTCCCTGCCAACTCCCAGATTCCCATGTCACCAGAAAAAAAATGAAAGCACAATACCCACCTCCGTCCGTATATCTTGAACAAATCATACCAGCCCGACTTATCAAACCCGCTTCCACCGGAGCAGTAAATTTCCTTCACCCCTTCCCTTGACGCAAAGCTCACTTCGTTCGGGGCGATACGGACCACGGGCCCGTAACGGAGGTGGAGGGCGTGGATCCACCGCGTGCGGTTGGCGCGGAGTTCATGGTACTTGAGGACGAGGGAGGTGAATTTCGTGTAAAGAGGGCCCGGAAGAGAAGAGAGAGGGGAGGTGAGGGGTTTGTAGATGAGGTTGTGGAGGAGGAAGATGAGAAAAGGGAGAAGGAGGAGGAGAGTCATAATTAGGTTATGGAAGGGG